TATTAGTATTCAGCTGCATCGAAAACCACGATGGCTTCGATAGAAGCATTTTACCTGAATAGAGCAAATGTATGCTCATGCTTGAATTATTTCGAAGTCATGGCAATTCAAGTGAATTCTTGCCGTCTGGTTGGAGGTCTTCCTATCAGCCATCTACCATGAGGCTATGCGTTCTGTATTCTTTTCGCAAGACTGCTCTCGTTCATTCATTAGCAATCGTTCTATCATTTCAAACGCCATTTTACAGCGAAATTTAGTTGAATATTCTAACCTATCTTTTACAACTGCAGTCCGTAAAAATGAGTCATCTGGGGTATTAACAAATTCGTATCGGTAGTATCTATTTCATTCCCAAACACAGCCCTGACAGTCCTCTGACAAAAACTCAAAAATCAGGATTAACGATCCGTGTCATCAATCGTGCACTGTGGCTGAACTGAGCTGCGAGAACATCGATTTTGACTACATTCTAGCCGTACACGATAGACTAGAATAAAGCCTGTTTTAGAAGAAAACAAATTATTAATTTGCAGTAGTGAAAAGGAGTAATAATGATAAATTATCATAACTTGGTAAAAAAATCTCCTGTCTTCTTTGGAATTCGTATGGCGTTGTTGCGCCGTCCCTTTGTTCTTGTAGCTTAGAAGACGGCTTGAGCAGTTCACAGATGGCTCCATTTAGCACATGTAGTAGATGAGTAAAGAACTGCAAATTTGTTACGTACCGGTTTTCTCACATTTTGAAACACTTGATTCTTCTCTTAAAATAATGCAGTGGCACGAAATGCGAATTAATACAATGACGCATGATTCAGTCAGGTGGCAGCTGCATTTCAGAGCGTATGGCCTTAATAAGAGAAACTATATTTTTGATTGATTTCAATGATAGCCTCTGTATCAACGTCCTTGTTCATTCATGTAATGAAAAATCCTTCCCTTAAAAAATTCCTTTTGCGATGTGCTCCAATTCGTTGGATCCCTGCACTGAAAATTTCCCAGACACCGAACTCTGCTGCCGTTCTCTCTTCACGTAAATCTTGCATTTCTCTTTGTCTTTTCACTTCTCTGCAAGTGACTCATATTTATAGTATAGCAATTTTATATAGGCTTTGCGCTATCGTACGCGGAAACTAAGGTGTTCCGTCTTCAAACTCCTCCGTTAGCGAGCCTATGTCCGGATGAGAAAGGAGGAGGGTTGGAGACCGTGGCAAGTCTCCGTAAAATTCAGCCACCTGCCACTCATGGTAATGACGCTATCGAAAATTATACCGGCTTGGTCGTCGCCCGGGTTACCAAGGGCTGCGCAGGCTGTTGGGGGACTGAGACAGACTGCGAAAATTCGGCTATTAGAACCTGCTCATCGCCTTCTGTCAGCTGGGACAATACAGGATTGAAGGAAGACGGAACGACGACGAAGATACCAATCTGCAACAGAGTTGTTATCCGTTCTCAACAGAGGAGTTAAACATGGCAATGCCATTATAGAAAAGGATCCACGAGAATTATACTACTGTTAGGAGCTAAAAGTCGGAAATTGAACATATCCTCACTCAGAGGAAAAGAACAAGAGTTAGTTGATGAGGCCATAAAGCACCAACTCGACATTGTTTGACTCTCGTCAGCAAGACTCCAAGGCTCTGGAATCCTGAACCTCTGCGGGTGGAAGCTATTCTACTCAGGTCAATAAATTGAATTAATCGTCTTCTTCTTGTAAAATCAGTGGCTCGTATCAGCTACATACTTATGATGGCAGCTGCAAGGTGTGGTTGTGAATCTAACCTTGGTTGGAATTCTACTCGTGACGGGTTGGACATTTTTAATCAATGAACGAACGAAATAAAAATTATGAACCAAGGAATCAGCGAATGAGTTCATTGAATAATACTAAGCTAATGGATATAGACAAGGGCCTGCTGAGATTACGTAGGTACACAGATATGGACATACAGCCAGTATATGAATAGTGGATCAATTGTATGAATTTGTTCATCCATCCAATTTTATATTTATTTGTGCCAACAGACAAGAAAATGGATCGAAATAGACAAGGTGAAAGACAGGTAGGAGACATAAGTATATCTGGCTGCCTATTTGTCTGCTTAACTTTCTACGTAACCATCTGTCGTTACGCTTGTCCGTCTGTCTCCATTTCTTCGACTTACCAAGTGCACTAGCCGTTGAAACAGTTAAGCGCCTCGTTATCTGCTTTAAGATCAAATCCTAATAAAGAAAGTTTATTCAGATTGTTTGAGGCATAAGCTCTGCAGCTGATTAGCACTCTTTCGAATTATTGAGGCGCAGTGGTTCGTTGTTTCTAATATATCAGTGACGTTGAGACATGCAATTCATCGGAAGAACATCCAGCTGTTCAGGCATTTCCTCAGTCTCACATAATGACCGAAAATACAACGATATATAACGACCTAACCGTACCGAAATCCGTCCCGGTCTGCATCAGCATGTTCAAACGTACCATTAGCTGTATCCCCATTATTTGAGACATTCCGGTCAGAAATAATACTCCTGTCCCTGACGTAACACGTCGGCCGAAGGTGTACGACTGAACCCTCCATATTTAGGTGGAAAAATTAGTGCTGTTAAGATATGCAAATGTAATGTCGTGTCAGACTAATGACTTCATTTAAATACATCTGCCATGGAAAGATCATTTGCATGACATTGAGATCACGCAGATTTTCGATGTCATATTAAAGCATTAATGGTCTTGCATCTGTGTAGTTCACTTGAACGTGAGATGCACTAGAAGGTGGCACCATTTTTGGGACTGTGTGACATGCAAAATTACCCCAGCATCTCACCAGGTCCTTCACAGTGGCAGATCGCGATGCATATCACTTTTCCCAGAGGCAAACGTTCAGTAATCAACGACTTCTGGCATAACCAATAATGCATAATTTATCCTAATTCGCAGTTAATCTTCAGCCCTTCATGCACTGGCGTCCATCACTTGTCTGCACTCATCATAGGCAACCTACAGGTGCACAAAATTACTGTTAAGAAAGAAACTCCACTCCCACTTTCAAAAAAATCTTCTCATCAGCAGCATATCGATCTTCCTTACATTTTCTCACGAGTATAGCAAGAGGTGCGTGTTTTCCGCATGAAATTTTTAATAGTCTCCTTTCGCGTGCTTTCAGAGATCGGTCTGCAATTTTCATCAGTCCCAGAGTTGCTCAGCTGTACCACGTCATGGGCATGCACAAGATCGCTGAGGAGTGTGATAGGGCATCTCGAGCTGCATCATTGACAAAGGCTGTCACTCGTTG